GCTGGAAGAGCAGAGTTCCAAGTGAGCTACATTTTACTTTCTCAGAAGGAAACTCTACATTCATTCTTGACCCAAGCCAATTTATTTAAACCTAGCTCAGACATCTCTATACCAGCATAACCTTTTTAGATCCAAGGGATGCCTCTGAAAATGGCAGCTCTTTAGGTTTGTTTGGTTTTTTTGATTGATTCATTTTTAGACCACAGAAAAACAAAGAAAATTTTTGTTGCAAAGAACTTAGTCCCCAGCAGGTCAGAATATGTTTTTAACACTGTGGATTCCTCTCTGAAATCTCTGGGTTTATTTTGTGAATCATGTTTGCACATTTAATAGTGCTAACCATTTACATGGCACCTCCATGGCACCCTTCAAAGGATCTCATGGCATCCTGGTTGAGAGTCACTGCCCTAAACCATGCTGCAGTGTAGATATACCTTACAGCTCATAGAAAAGTGGCACGGCTCTTTCAGAGTCAAAGGAGAATATACTAAAAGAAAAACACCCATTCCTTTTTATGTTGTGTATCTCTTATGCTTCATATTGTAGTGTTGTGCTTGTGTGTGTATTGGGTTAAGACTTTTTTTTCTCTCTTTCCATTGCAGCCATGGCTAGTCCAGGTGGCCCCCATGCTGTACGCACAAGTAACTTTGTCCTTGCTGGATCTCTCAAGCTTTCACTGGCTTCGATGGGAAACACCAAATTTGTTTTAGACAAGGTAATGGAAGTTAGCTTGCTTCATCTCCAAAGATAATTGGAGCTTGGGCTAATGTTTGCCTATATGAAGTATATTAACACCATATAACTGGAAAATAAAAACTGAAGGAAACGTGTAGGAATACCATATTCAGTTTTCCAGTAACAAAACTAAACAAATTGCTGTATACTAATAAGGGGAAACCAGAAGACGTTTATAAGCATGTGACTTTTTCTAAAACTTAACCTGTGAGGCCTTTCACTGCACCAAATGCTTGGTTTTATTTTGTTGGTTTGTATTTGCTTTTTTTTTATTTAACTTGCTCTACACAGGAATCCACTTCCACCAGAATGGTTTTGCATATGCTTTCCCTTTTAATATTTCTACTACTAGATTAGGTGGAAAGGAGTAAAATCTACTCAAAAATAGCTTTACACTGCTTTCTAGACTTACGTTTGGCACCATTCAGCATATTTTTTTTCCCCCCTAGATAAATTATGGAGGGAAGGAAAGAGAGCTACTGAGCTATATGTTCCAGGACAAGGTTGCTATATTTACTTGCTTTTGACTAAAACTGAAATGCTATTTCCTAGTGCATGCTGCTCATGTTTTGCTCTCAAGCCTTTGTAGTAGTTAGAAGTAATTTTTAAACAAACTTTACAGCAGGAGTTTCTATTTGTCTTGTAGTATCCAGCATAGTATTAGAAATCAACTTTATTTAAATATTATTTAAGCTTTTACATAATACTAAAGCTCCCCATTTTAAAATTCTTATTGTAAAGGGTTTTACAAAACTACTGGCTTCTCAAGGAATGCTGTCAAGTGATTCTAGTTTTTTATTTCTTCAACACCATTGTTGAAGGAATAGTTTTGCCAATTAAGTTTGTAAGCCAGTAGAAGAATTGGACAACATAACCTCCTACAAATGTCATTAAAAGTACAAATTGTTGCTATTTTAAGATAGCCGGTTTTGCCTATGAACTAAAATTTACTAGTTTTGTAAAAAGGTTGAAGAATTCAACAATAACAGTTCTATAGATATGATGTTACCCATCAACATCTAAATGGTACACTTCAATTAGGATATAGTGAGCTGAAGTTCCCATTAGCAGGATTTTAAATCAAGCATATCTACTGTTGTGCTTCACTCTACTTCACTCTCACTCTCCTGCCTCTGACCTAGGAGAGCATCCCCTCTTCCCACTCCCCCAGCCCCTGCCCATTCCTACCTCACATCTTAACCCCTGTTCGCTATCTCCATAATGAAAACAACATTTTTTTTCCCCTCTCACTCCATATTCACTCCCCTGCCTCGCACCCAGGAGATTCTGTCTATCCAAATAAAAAGAACTTTAATTTGACTATTGGTAGAACATTTCAAATATCATTCTTTTCATGTACTTCAGTTGTCCTTAGTGTTTAGGTATAGGCACAACATAAGCTATAAAGAGCTCTCTCCTGTTTCCTCCTGACGTCACTGGCAAAATTCCTACCAACTTTGCTGGAAATTACATTTGTTTGTTTGAATGTCTCCTCACTGCTGGGCATACTAATGAATCCTTTTGATAATGAAGACTTTCTCCTGTGCAATAGCAAGCATGCTGCTTAAGAACTGATATATCCGCTAGATGCATGGGGTCTTTTCTTTTTTCAGGTTGCATGGCGATCTTAGTAAATCTTGTCAGTAGCATGCAAAACTAATGCCAAATGGAATTCAGCGCTTCAAAATAGCCACTTGCATTTTGAATTACCAAGTCATTGCAATCCTGGGGTGTGTAAGAGCCTTCTGGCCTCTTTATTGAACACATGTTGTATAGGATTTACTTGGCAATAAAGATGAGCTTCTAGAAGAGAAAATAGAACTTTAATGTGTTGTGGGCAGGGCACCTGTTAATCTGTCTTTAGAGACCTGTATTGACAAGGGATCATAGTAGAATTCAGATGCCAAAGAGCCTTCACATTTGCCCAAGTTTTTGTTTTGAGGCATTTTGTTTTGTTCAGCAGGATACTGTTCTGATAGTTACCCTTTAAGGATGGGGGACCTACTAGTACTCTGTTCTATTTTGAGGAGGTTTTTTTGGGATTGTACAAGTAATTGGTTAGCATATCACTTATGTTGAAGTCATGAGAGAGTAGATTTTAACAAAGCATTGGTTTAGAAGAGGTGCTCTTGACAGATGTTGTCCTGAAGTCATGCTTTTCTCTTTTTTTGATATGATTTAAATCTATTTGCAAGAAAAGGGGAATGCCAATGAAATTAAAGGCTCAAATCCACAACAGGACCTAAGCGTTGTAACATTCAACATTGTAACTTCTAATGTTAAAGTGCATGGCTCCTGCAGCAGAATTTATGACCCTGAGTGAAACACCTA